TTAGCTCTAAAACACACACAGAGCAACAGGCAAGCTACAGCTTGGAGTTACCCAGCAGTTCCAGCCCAGCACTTTTCTGAACAAAGCTCTCCTTAAGGAGGGCCACGAAGCGCATGAAACATGCATGGCACGGTGCGCAGAGGTGTGTGTGAAGCTTTCATTAGACCCTGATGCTGCTTTTAATGCATATTTTATATTGCACAAACTGCTCCTCAAATCTCGTTTGAGAGCCGCCAGTGCCGCCTTGAACTGACAGCCGCATCTGAGGCATGTAAACAATGCACTGTAAATACATGAAAACACATTTCCCTCTTTGTTACCATCACACTGGTGTGTCAGCGCAGTGTGTGTGCGCATTAAGCCCTCGTATGTGATTCGCTTTTGTTCTGCGCTTCAGCTGTTGAGGGAAACAGTTGGATGGAAGGATAAAGAGCGAGAGAGAGAGTCTTTTACTGCATTGTCTTCATCAGATCTGTCACGAGCTCATGCGTTGATCACAGATACGGCCTGTCAGCTTGACACCCGCTCCATCTCGCCTCACCCGCTCCAACCGTTCCCACAGGCAAACCGAGAGTGCGAATATATATATATATATATATATGGGTTTATTGTGAGACGGGTGCAGAATATGTCAGCTTCTGAAGCAAAGTTGATCCTTGCAGCTCTAGACCAGACTGTCTGATTGTCTCTAATAGCCGTGCGTGTACATATATATGTACAGAAGCTCCTGAGTAGCTAACTGTGTGGTCAGGCGACTGGACTTCACCGCCTTGCTAAGTGCTAAAGAGAAGTGTGTGTTGAACAGCTCTATAAACCTGCTCATCAGCCCTCCCGTCCAACACTGCCAAACCCAGCACACGCTGAGTGGAGAGGCGCTCTGTAGCCTCTCTGTACAGAGTTATGGGGCTTTAATGGGAAATCTTAAACACATTGCGAGCACTCCTCAGCATATGTAGGCTGACTGCTCACCGCAGAGTGGTTTTGGACCGGGTTTTCCGAAAGGCATTTAAAGACCAGCTAACACTCTGTCATAACCTAAGCCGTGTTTCATGCTGACATGGAGGAGAGAAGCAAAAAAACACGCAGCAGTCAAATGACAACGAGAGCAGGGAGTCTGCAGAGAGCCAGAATTAAAAGCCTTGCTTAAGTTTGTCTTCTTAACATGAATCAAGATGTGGTCACATGAACAAAAAAAATTCTAGATTATATTGTCAATAATGTATACAATGTTATAATCCAGCAAGGATTTAAAAGATGTTTTTAAAAGATGTCTAATAGACATCTAAGATTAGGCCGAAACTAGTCTAGTCATCAAATAAACAGAAATAAATGACTCATCTAAAGTCTGTCTAATCTGTCTATTTGACGACTAGTGTAGTTTTGGGCTATTCTTAGACATCTATTAGAATTTTGCCACAAGTTTGGCCTTGTTTTAGCCAAGCTGTCTACGTTTAGATGTCTATTAGACATCTATGAAACACAAAATTGTTTGCTGAGGAACTACGGAAGTCAATTCTTTGCAAAGCATATATTACTAAAAATGTAGTTGTTTTCAAAAATTAAATGTTTCTGCACCTTAAATACGCAATTATATGTATGTAAATAAGGAAAATTTTAAGGAAAGCCTCATGCAAAATGTATACTCCAAAAAATGCTGTGTTGTTTAACCCAAATCTGGGTAAAATATGTGGTAAAAGAGTCTTTTGTAACTGAAAAAAAAAGAATATAGTATACATTTATGTTTTCTGATACCATTGTAATACCAATGTCAGAAAAATTGTCCCTTTCAGGTAAGTCCTCTTAAAGGGACAGTTAGTTCAAATCTACAAATCAATTCTTTTTTCTCTTATAAATACTAAAATATAAAATAATTTAAGGATTATAGCTATTTTATCCATACTGTGGAAGTCAATGGGGGACAGCAACTGTTAAGCACATTCCCAAAAATTCATACAGGTTTAGAACAACCTAAGGGTGAGTAAATGAACGGACTGTGACTTTACTTTAATAAAGGTGCAACTTTTCTACTTTATTTACCCCTGAATCATACATATTAACACATTAGTGTAATGAATTGTTCCCTTGAGGTGCTTTTTAGAAGCACACTAAGCACAAAGTTGTATCTTAAGGGACACTGTTATGATACCCTTGCTGGTTGCACTTTTATGTAAATACCAAGTTACCCTGCATGGTTAACCATGGTTAAACTTTTTCATAAAAGTACCAATGTATTTATCTAGCATGTTGACTCTGCTGCCAACCTCTCATTCACACACACTATCTCTTTTTCTCGCTCACTCAGTGGCACCACATCATTAACAGGTATGGCAGGGCCGTTTGCCACAGAAATAGCCAGTAAATCAGTTGGTAATATATGTGCACGTGGGAGACAACCCTGGGGAGATAAACGGCTTTTTATTGAGACACTCAGTGAAAGGCTGAGCCGAGGCCAGTCCCCCTGGCCACTGTATTTACCTCAGGGGTGTCAGAGAACAGTCTCTCTCCCTCAGCACAACGCGCCTGCCTTTCACCCACACACATAAATCTGTCCTGCGACACGCCGGCCAAACCGCTCAGCAGAGCGAGGGCAACAAGCAGCATCAGTAACAGCACCTAGCACTTCACGCATAAACATTCATGCGAAGGGAAATTATAAACCACAAACAAATCACAATATAGGAAGGGAAGATGCCGAGCTGTTTAGGCCAAATGTAACATCCAGTCATTCTGTAGTATGCTTTTGGTCATATACTCTGTATATAAATGAAAGTAGTATGCATTTTAAAATATATCACAGCAGTATATTTTATTTTTAATTATTACAAAATAAGAGACCCTTAAAGGTATTATTGCTCTCTGATTTGGCATTAATATGTATGTGTTTTGAGCAAAATGTTCTACTGATAACTGTCAACAAATTTTTACATTTAAAATATTTTAACATTTGAAGAGTATCACATTTAACATTTATTTGCAGACAATGACAGTAGGTCAGATTAAACATTCTATAACTACTCTATAAGTAGTAGGCAAGGGTCAGTATATAATTCTGACAGTATGATAACCTTGAATAAAAATATCATGGTTTCACTGTGAATACTGCTCAAAATTATATTCGTTTTAAATGTCTGGGTAGAAAACAAATTTTTCCCCTTTGAAAAAAAAATTTAATTTGGGAAACATTTAAAATATTTTGGAACGGTACACATGTCAGGCTAAATAAGTTATTGACTTCTGCTGTTTCAAAAACAGTGATTTCTTTACAATTTAAAAGGCATCTTTGGGTATCTTTTCTGTTGGAGAAAATGTTGTATTTAAAAAAAGAAAAAAAAGCCTTACATAAAAACCTTACATATACTGTAGTACATCTACTACTTATGCATTGTAAGTAGTATGCATGCAGTATTTATTAAATTATAATTAAATTCTGAATTCTGTAAATTCAGTAAAAGAGACTACCCTTAAAGTTATTATTGTTCCCTGGATTTACCATTAATAGGTATGTGTTTTGAGTAAAATGTTTACTAGCGATAACATGTCAACAAAATTTTAAATAAAAATATTATCATTTAAAATTTTAACATTTAAAAAGTATTCAATTTATTTGCAGACAATGAGAGTAGGTCAGTTTAAACATTGTATAAATATCCTATATATTGCAGTCATTTGCATGTACATGTTATTTACATAATACACATGCACTTGTTATTTACATAATACATAGTTTATTTAAAAAAAAAAAAAAAATATATATATATATATATATATATATATATATATATATATATATATATATATATATATATATATAGTGCACAGCATATATGAGTAAATGCCCACAAATCAATATTTCCTATAGGATGCTTTACAGTATTATATTTGTGCATATACATTAGTTAAGTCAACAGAATCAAGATCAAATTAATTCCCTGACCTGTTTAAGTATTTTTCTCACTCTTTACTTTAATACAGCTTCCAAATATGCACACATGCATAGACAAACACACGCGGATGAGGCAAAACAGTAGCAACAAGGTGAAACAAAAGGGTAAACATGCTGGCGTGTTAAAATCACATGATGTACTAAGTGTTTGGAGCGTTAGCGATCTGTCTGTCACAGCGCCTGCTAATTGCCTCATATCTGTACACACTTCACCCTGCCTGGGGTCACACACACACACACACACACACACACACATAACTTGTCATGCAAAACGAGTCCTATAAAAACGGCTTATGAAAAAAAATATAATCATTTCAGTTATTAATCAAATTAGCTAATGAGCTTTGCATATTTGCATTCTAAAGATTTATTGCGCATCCAGATTTATTGTCACAGTTCTTGACTCGCAGCTGCTGGATACACTTTCCCTAAAGTGTCTTCAAAACAACATTTATAGACAGAGACCATGAGAGAGGAAGTGAGGGGATGAGTGGGAAAGAGAGAATGAGAGAGAGAGAGAGAGAGAGAGAGAGAGAGAGAGAGGGGCTGTTTCTGTTTTGGGGGGGGGGGGGGGGGGGATTGTAATATGAGATTGTAAGGTCACTCTCGCTGCCCTGTGTTTTCTCATATGAGTTTTTCTTAAAGGTTAGAGCTCACAACCTGCACAGTTAACACGACATGCCTCCTCATAACAAACATGTGCATATGAACACACTGGAAGTATGCTGTTTAAATTTTGAAAGGCACCACTGGATAATCCCCTGTGACAGAATATGAATGCAACTCAAAGTCTTTCTTTCTTTCTCTCTCCAGCTATCAACCTCACTGTCACACGTATGCACATAAATACATGCATACGCTCAGTCATCTTAAATGATGTCCCAGAGAGAGTATGTCATATTTAGACACTAACCGATCCTCGTGCCCCTGAGGCATGCTAGAGTGTAACCCCAAACTCACCAGGGTGCACGGCACACATGCACACTGCGAATCACACACAATATTTACCAGCAGACCATGGGGATTTTCAGAAAAAATAAATAAAGCAAACTCTTACCTGTTTGGTCATGGAGTCAATCAGGCGTACATAAAAGTCCTGTTCTGTTCTGATGCCTGCACAGGAGAGAAAACAAAAGCTCTTTAGCATAAAATACAATGCAGGTCATTCGGATCTAAAATTGATCTGGCAGGTATATTTATCATTTACAATGAAATGAGTTTAATACTGGATGGATGCTTTAAATTTCTAGATTGTTCAACCCAACTTAAATTACAGAGTATTAAAGGATTATGAAAACAAAAATAAATAGATTTGGATGAAACTCAAACTTAAATTGAGCAATTATATATATACATACATTATATATACATACACAAAAACAAAAGTATGAAGAAAATGCATGAAATTAGGTCAGATGGAAATAACCAAAAAATTAAAACACAGGATGCATGATTTCAAGCAAAATAAATCCAAATGTCTAATTAAAAAGGTTTAGAAACACGGCAGACTGGCGCAACAAATTTCCAAACGCCTGGTTGTCATTTACCACATTAGCAGACATAGAAAAAAGTGTACTTTCATTATTGCCAGGCCATTAGCTTCCATCAAAAATGAAGTGCACGTTTCTGGAAAACGCGTAACCGGAAAAGTGCACTAATGGAGATCGTTTTGTGTTTCAATAATGTTTATAAAACGCTACAACATTGCTGCGCACTTTATAATCTTTTGCTTGAACAATTATAGTAATTACTATTATTATTAATGATTATATATATATATATATATATATATATATATATATATATATATATAATTACTACTATTATTATTACTTATATTATTATTTTATTAGTAGTAGTAGTCGTTGTAGTTGTATCTAGGTCATTATATTCGTTTTAATTCTGTTTGATCTAGTTACGCAGTGAATTATTTATTTCTCTGTCACCCGTCCTTCTCGATGTCTTTTATTTTATTCAAATTGTGGTGCTGAAGTAAATCCCTGATGTGTTTATGCAAAGTTCAATAAGTCTAAGATTATGCGAATTCCGCCTTACCGTTGCTGTAAAGGAGCTGCAATCTGTAATGGATCCCATTGTTTGTCTTTTCTCCGGTAGATTCCTGCAAAAATAAATTTGTTGGTTAGCAAGAAAAACATATTTGACTATTTCTAACAAGCCCTGTAGGTCAGACCGGCTATTCCCATGCGGACCAAGAGGCCAAAAAATAAATAAATATAAATAAATAAATAAATAAATAACCGCTAACGCAAATTAGCCAGTCCGAACAACATCTGCAGTTCAAAATACATTAAATCTCAGATGGTAAACGAACAGATTAATACATCAACTTATTTAAAAAAAAACTAAGCTACCTTTGTGCCTTGAGTATAAGTACAGTCAGTAAATACACAGTATTATTAGCCACATCTTTTAATAAAATCAGCAGTAACTTCACTTGCTTAGATAATTTCTAACTGTTTACACAAATATTATTTGTGTGCAGTATTTTTATTAAAACATCATTTGATACTTTCATAATAATACATTTACTAATATAACATTTTAAAAAGGAAAATTCATCCTTATCACTGTAACTTATCTGAAAATTATACATTAGTAAATGTACAAAGTATTGAAGGGTAAAAAAGCTTCAGTGAAATTATAGCTTACTACTTGAACATGTAGCTAATAATGATAATAATCATAATAATAATAATAATAATAATAATAATAATAATAATAATAATAATAATAATGATAATAATAATGATAATTCTTTCGACTTAAGCCCAACATTAATAATTATCAGAGTTGATAAACCATTTTCACTCAAATTTGCAAAACCGATATGTGTAAAGGATAACGTTTGACTTGCCTTTTCTTTTTCAACAAATCCAACAAAAGATGTTCTTTCAATTTCCACGGGTTGTCCTTGTCTGTCGTATAGCGCTAATACGAAGTGGAAGAAGTTGGATTTACGAAGGTTTGAAGGAGGTTGCTTCTCAAAGTGTGCTCGAGCAAGACCCACTCCACTATAAACACACAGAAGAAAGACAGACAGAATGATGATGGATGTATTTATAATTAAAAGCAACAATTATAGCCTATTTTGTGATTTATTATAATTGTCTCAAAATATTAAAAATAAATAGGCTAATTTTAGTTCAAATGTGCAACGGGAAAGCCCTGAAATAGCACACGTGAATTGCTTTATTAGTTTAAGAAAACAACTTGAAATATAGCTTTGTGTTTTACACAATCACTTAAAAAGTTATGCTAGTCTTTAACAACATATATTCCATTTAACATACTATTGGCAATTGTGATAAATCATAAAGTAGCTTAATTGCTCTAAATCTATACTTGAACAAACAAGTAAGCTAGGCTACTGGTATTTATTTTCTTTAAAACTCCATATTTTAGGGCAAATAAATCAACGCACTGTTGCAAAGTCATTAAAAAGCAGCCGCTATTTTAAGGCTAAAATAATAATGTCAGAAGAAATATTTTTTAAATAGTTTAAATGTGACTTGCAACTCCATCGTTTCAATGTGTCGGTGCCGACGACACGCAGGAGGATGCTACGAACTTATCGCAGCAATAAATCAATCTCTTTGTCAGCTGGTTATTAATAAGCAGATATCGCGCACTGATTAGGATGATATACATGAGCGTTTTGTGTCGTCCCAGGATGATAAGCGCCCGATATCATTCCGTCGAGCTGTTGCCGTGGCGCTGCAGACCGCCGCCGGCTTACCTCTGAGCGGCTGTGTTCGCATCCAACACTCCGGCGCCCTGCATCCATGTCCGGACAGCGTTCATCCCGGCACCGATGGGCTCCTCTTTCATACTACTCCCGCTCCTTTGAATGCTGTCTTGAATCCCGAACATGAAAACAGACTCCTGTCACCGTCTCAGTCGCTGCTTGCTTCTTTTGATCGCTCCGTTAAAAAAAGACAAGGAGAGGAGTACGGGTGAGCAGGTGTCACCGCGTTTGTCTCTATTAGCGCTTCCTCTGTGAAACCGAAAATACACCGACGTGCCAAAAGAAACGCGAGATGTCAACATCCAGGTTTGGGAACACCGCACAACAATAAACAAACAAACAAACCAAAAACTGCAAGATTAAACCGGAGGTCCCTTCGGTCTAGCGCGCGGGGGAGAGAGAGAAAGAGGGAAAAAAGTCTAATGTCACTTTAAGAAACAATAGGATCAAGAACGGGCTTCGCTGAGGGTTAGATCAAATGTCATCATCCAGAGACTATTTTTTTTCTTTCTTTATTTTCTCCTCCTTTCCTTTCCTGTCTTTCTCCACAAAGAGTATTCTCTGATCAAATCACATGAATGAGCAATATGAAATCAACCACGAGAGGTGGACCCTTGTGGAGACAGCTCCCTCGCTGTTCCCCTTGTTCAAACGGGAGTGATTTGTGTCCTTTCCCAAAGGAATCCGATTTGACTGTCTCTGGGAACTAAACACAAGCAAACTAACCCCAAAGGGAGGAGGAGGTGGAGGAGGAGGGAGTGACTGCGCACGCAGGGCCGCCCCCCAAACATAAGTAAGCCGAACTACCATTAGCTGTCCACCCAACCACGAAGCCCGTCGCCTAATTAGATATCACAGCCCGCCCTGCCCACTTAGCGAGCTGCGTGTTTAGAGGGGAAACCAGAAAGAAGTTATGCGCGCGTTAAATGTCACGCGGGGAGCTGCAGTCCGGAGCGCGCCGCGCGAGTCGAGCCAAGCTGATGTGGTTCGCATGAACGCAGAGTTGTCTTTTAATATTGTAAGTTTGTTTAAGAAACAGCACAGTGGGTTTGTTTAAATAGGGATGAGCTAGTGTTAGGGTTGTTCAGCAACTCTCTCAAGAGTTGGATGTTTTATAAAAACATTTCTGAGGGAGTTTTCGCCGCGCGCGTTGCGTTGAGGTTTGGCGCCCCTGGCAGATTTATCAGCTTTTCCAAAAGCCCTTAAAACACTGCATTATTGCTTAAAGAGAATATGATAGCTATGTCAGTATTTTTATTTCATAAATTATCAATAATGACATGTCAAACAGACCTCTGTTGCTATGGTTACCTGCTAGACGAGCGCGATGTGTGTTCTTGAGAGTTTATATTCAGGTAAAATAAATGAATTGAGAACTTTTGTAAGCTGGTAGGCTTTAATATAGCCAACCAAAACGTGGTCACACTAGGATATTCTGCTTTCTTTAAAACATCATTGTCGATTTTTTATTAGGCTAATACCATAATGTAGTATAAAGTATTATAAAGTATGAAGTATTTCATTAATGTGCGTATGAGAGACATAAACCCGAGAAATACTATGTTTGACAACCAATGTGACTAAATTTATAATTAGTGTCATAAACATTTCCAAAGAGACGTCTTAGTGCATTGCACCAACATTGAGGTTTGTTTTTTATTATTTCAGTTATCAGTAAAAAATAAACTATAAAATCCTTACTGACAAAATTATTTAATGCTTTTTAAAATTGCCTACTTTTTTATTAGTATAGATAAAGGAGCAGAATGCAGATATTATAATCCATATAACACCGCAGCGACAATAGGCTAAACGCATCAAACAAAACCGGATCATTCAGACCTAATGTTTAAACAGCATGCTTAGTCAAAAACAATATAAAACGACTACACAAAATACAATATAAGCGCAAAACAGTGTAAATAGCAGCACTTTTTTCCTCTTTTAAACAAAATCATTTTTATTAATATTTGAAATATGCTTTATTATATTTCAGAAATGTTCAAAATGAGCTTGCTCCGGATATGGATATTGCACCAGAGCTAAATGAATTGCACGGAGGAGAGAGGTCTGAGTCCGTCCTATGCAGAGCTGGTCAGGCAGAGGGGAATTGTACTCCCCTTGGGTCCTTGTATTTATATGCCACACAGCAGTTTAAAGTGGCAGAAACTACACAACGAGTCTTGGCGAAAACGGTGAATTGTGTCCAAATAAGAGACAGACATGTTATTTAGCATAACTAAAATTTATTATGTGCGTCACTTAAATGTCCCATGTTCGAGAAAAAAAAATCAATGCGCAATCCTGTTTAACATGTGTCCATATTTATGATAATCATATAAAAAAGCTCAAATTAACCTTTATATAATACAACTAATCCCATTGCTGACAGCGACAAATTCGATTTGATCTGTAAAGCAGATGTCCACATAAATCACACTGTCGTTGATGAGCACTAACCATTTAATTGAATTGAATAACCATAAAATAAATCATAATGTAAAACAAAGTTTTTGTCACGTGACATAATTTAATCAGTGGGCTACTTTTGTCTGTTTAAGCGATCAGACCAGCATGTATTTGTATATAAAAAGCACATTTAGTTTTAATGCAGTATAAATATCTACAATTTATTTATTTATTTATTTATTTATTTATTTATTTATTTATTTATTTATTTATCTAGCCAAGAAAAAGCACCGTTTTGATAATTTCTTCATTAATGCACAATGTAGGCTATATGAAATAACCAGGATTATATTTGAGTTTGTGATCCAACTCAGCTTGACGTTAAAAAATAGACTAATTTACTAATAAGAGTCTCAGTTGGGGGTAATTATGACTAACAAAAGTGCTTGCATATTTTGTACATACTGTAACAACAAACAGAGTCTGTTTTTTGTGGATTGGAAAACAAATCGCATGAAGAGTTTCAGACTCCTCAGAGAACCGGACAAGAGTGAAAATAATGGTTGCCAGCGCAACATTGTCATCTAGTGGCCACACATGGAAAACATCGCCTTTGTTTTAAAAAACTTTTTAAAGCATTACAGAAACTAGAAGTAGTTTACAAAAAGAGCATGTAAAAAAGAATTATTAAGTATAAAGATGAAGTTTGTGATTTAAGTGTTTCAAATAACTTTTCGAATAATGTGTCAAAATGAAATTACTGCAAAATGAAATAAGGCATACTTTTATTGACCTTTACATATTAGAATATAATACAACAATAAGCAGTCATACTACATTTTAAAAAAAATTTTAAGTTGATTAAAATGAAATGTAAATAAATAAGTAAAACCTAGAGGAGTCTATGTCATCAATGTTTTTTCATTTAAATATGCTGGACACTTTTATATTTATAGTATACAAAATAATACTAACAATTGCCTCACAGCAAGAAGGTCACTGGTTCGAGTCCCGACTGGGCCAACTGGCATTTCTGTGTGGAATTTGCATGTTTCCCTCCCATGTTGGCGTGAGTTTCCTCAAGGTACTCTGGTTTCCCCCACAGTCCAAAGACATGCACTATCTGAATTGAACAAACTAAATTAGCAATAGTGTATGAGTGAATGAGAATGCATGGGTTTATATATATTTATATATACACTTTTGCATCACTGAATGACATTTTAGTGGGTGTAAATCATGATAAAAATGTATCATAAATGTATCATGTCATTATGTTTTTCCTCAGAAAAACTTTAAATTAAACACAATTCATTCTTGTAGCTATAAAATAAAGTTGTGTAAGATATTGTGCTGCGGATGCTGGTACCAATGGACTAAATATCTGTCTCAGTGTCATTCATATCAGTCTCAATGAAAGTGGTGATGACAGCCCTCATTACCATTCACTATCATTGTATAAGTTTCCATAATATTATTCCATTTATTTCGTGTAAATGGGCTCTATGCACAGCTAGTGTTTTTCAGCCAATGATAAACTTCTGGTGAAAACTATTTCCGTATTCAAAAGGTTCCTTTAGAGCATCAATGTTCAGTTCAATGTTCAGCAAAACATTCAGTTCAATAGACTTAAGCATCCATTTAGTTGTTCAAGTGTAAAATGAGTTAAAAGACCACTGACCACTGTTTAACCACTAGCACCTTCAGGATCAGTGGACTAGTGCAAAAACTCTATTGTAAATACTGGAGTAAAATAAACTGTCATATTATAAAGACATGGCGGGGGGAAATGGAATTTAGTGTAGTGCTTCTTGTCCGGTCTGCGACCCACTTTATATTGTTTATCTATCAGGCAGTAAAGATCCCTGATTTTTAAAAAGATCAGACCTTAAACGTGGCAATAATATAATGGAAAGAGATCACTGGAAGCGCTTAGGCTGGCTGAAATGAAAAGTGTGTGTGCATATACCCCATTGCCCTTTTAAAGTTTCAGAATTTCAACACCGTACTGACCAAAGTTGTTAAAGTACTTTTAAAGTAAATGTAGAGCTACATGCACACAGTGTCAACACAACTTTTATCAAGACTTAGGTCAGAGAAGAAAAAATTGATACTCTGCAGTGACCCTTGACCTTAACCTGGCACACACACAGACACACACACTAGGACTCATGAAGACAACATTATTTATATTCTGGTTCCGTGAGAAAATGTACCCAGGGAATATGTGGCCTTTGCAAAATGACCGAGAGCTTTGTTCCTGCGTTTCACATGTAACTTTTTTTCTCCTTTTTTTACACAGGGGTCGGAGTTCAATGTTAACTTTGATCAGAAGGATGGAGAGGGTTAAAAGCTGGCGGTCTTTGATTTGCTAATGTTTCCTCCATTCTCTCTTCCTGTCCCTCACGCTAAAGGGAGTTGAAGCGTTCACACAGGAAAAGTGGATAAACGCTCTCATCTGCCCCTTCAGACACCTCACACAGCTGATTCCAGAACTGCAGGTATCTGTTATACCTTTCAGCTTTTTTCAAACGGTCATATTTTAACTGCACTTAAATTATTTTCTTACTCTTTGTCATGGATCAGAAGATGTTATAGGCTATTCATTCATTCCTTCAGCTTAGTCCCTTATTCATCAGGGGTCGCCACAGCGGATTGAACCACCAACTATTCCGGCATATTTTTTTCGCAGCAGATGCCCTTTCAGATGCAACTTAGTACTGGAAAAACTTACTCATTCACACACACTTATACACTTCGGCCAATTTAGTTTACATAATTCACCTATAGCGCAAGTCTTTGGATTACAGGGGAAACCGCGGAGCACAGGGAGAAAATGCAAACTCTACACAAAAATGACAACTGACCCAGCCAAGGCTCGAAACCAGTGACCTTCTTTCTGTGATGCGACAGCGATACCCCCTGTGCCACCCCAATTACATATATAAAAACACATTAATATTAATAAAATTACGTTCATATTGCAGACCATAGTTTTAAACGAGCAGACACTAGTCCATAACTACAGTGTTAACGCTATGACAATTCAACAAATTCATCTATGACTTTGGTTATTGAAGAATTAGCAGTTTTTCATATTTTATTATCAATGTATGCTTTTTCCATTCATTTATGGTTTTGATTTACATTACGTGACCTTAATCTTTGCTTCAAAAGACGTTTGAGAATGTAAAGCTTGAAAAAATGAATTTTATCTGAATGTTTACTAGTTTGATGTGATATATTGTCTGGATTAGTGTGGTAAATTAAGGTACAAAAACCTGACAATAACCTGCCAGTACTTTTT